TCCCAAGCTCTCAGAAGAGCCAAGGTGGATTTTACTGGGCCTGGGGAAAAGGAAGTATAAATGCTAGAATCCCTAAGGCAAAGGTCAGAAGAAAGTGCAGTGTGCACGCATCTACCTGCCAGCAAAGCAAGGGGATCACTAGCTCCCTAACATTCATGGGCTGCCCTGGCTAGATCTGCATTTTGTGGAGCTTTTTAAAGAACATACAAAGAGGCCGATGGTAGGAGCTGGCTCCCTTTCTCAATTTTGGTTTGCTTTTCATTACTTTCCCCTCTCTAGATAGGGTCAAAGCTGCTGCATGATTAAACCTTGGCTAGCTAAGCATGATTGTTTCCCCACTGTATTAGACAAGGAAAGGAAGCTAACATTTATAGAAAGTGTAATGTTTGCATGATACATGTCATCATCATAGTCCCCTGAGAGGTAAATATTATCATCCCCACTTAGCAGATGAGGAAATGGGGGTAAGAGAGGTAAGGTACCGAGCCCAAGATCACTCTGCTCACCTCTGTAGTGAGCTCCCCATCTCTGGTCACCTAGCTGAAATTTGAACCCAAGTCTGTTTGGCATTAAAGACCATGCTCTTTTCATAATGCTTCCTGAAGTTTAATAGGCAGAATGATGTAGTGAAATGATGATGCATTTTATCATCAGATAGATACTCAGAAGTTCAAAGCCAAGCTCTTCCCTTCCTTGTTTCCTTGGCAAATGTTCGTATGGATTTTGAAGACTTCGTATAAAAATTTTTAAGTATCTCATTAATAATTTTATATTGATTACATTTGAAGTGATAGTATTTAGATGCGTTGAGTTAAATAAAACATTTGATTACTTTCACCTGTTCCTTTTTTACACTTTTTAAAAAACGGTAGGACTAAGAGAGGACAGGCCTATTAGCAAGTGGCTGATAGGAAAATTTAAACTTTCCAATGTGGCACACATTATATTTCTATTGAGCAGCTCCACTCTAGAAGAATGAAAACATGGGATGATATTTCCTATCTCTGTGCAATTTGATCTGAGAGTATTTATCATGTGACCTCCCCAGGAAGGCACACAGAGCTGCTTAACAGGTACCATCTCTCCCTTTCTGCATCATTTAAGTGGGCACTGTAGGGGGGTTCACTGTGGAAACCTTGGTCCTATGATAACATGGAGAGGGTGTCAGATGACAGCTGCAGAGTCACTTGTTCAGCTCTCTTGAAGATTCCTTAGTTTTTGTGTCCTACTTCTTGAGAGACAATTGTAATTGTCCCCTTGACCCTCCCCCATAAAAAACCCAAACAAAAACAAACCAAAAACAACTCAGGGCTGGCAATCAGATGAAATAAATGTTGCTTATTGTCATAGCCCCTCAGCCATCTTTGTTTTTCTTTCTTTTTGCAGAAAAAAAAGCCATGTGAAATGTTTTGAGTGAAGTCTGATGTACAATATCTTCATTAGATTGAAAGAGAAGAAAAACCATTGGATTAATGATAAGGTTTTTTCTAACTAGATTCATAAAACTGGGAAAGGTCTTGGGAATTGAATGGTCCCACCCGGATGCCCTGTCCTCAGAAAGTGAGGCTCTGAGAGGCTAATGGTCTTGCCTAGGGTAACAGACCAGCCAAGGTGGATGGAGTCTGGAACCTGATCTCCTGATCCCCCTCTTGAACATGCATCTGCCACACCACATTGCCCATTTTTCTCTGAGATGCTTTCTTCCCAGCTCCTCCCTCCCAAAGCAATCCCCTCCCACCCCCAGTTTGGTAGCTCATCCTCTTCTGCCTATCTCTCTGACCCAGTGTCTTCTCTTTGGCATAAGGGGTGGTAGAAATGGGAGTCAAAAAGATCTAGACAGGCTAAAGGATGGGTAGAAATTAACAAGATAAAATGGAACTAAAAAAAAAAAGAGAGTTTGAATAGCTACTAACAAATGGAGCCAGGGAGACTTTCTTGGCCTCAACAGAGGTTCAAGTGAGAAGACGATATGTGTGTGTTCAGAGGAACATGGATTTGGACTCATAGGCTTAGGGCTTGAGGCCTCGGCATATGTCCTTGGAAAAACCTTAGTTTCTTCATCTTTATTAACCTCCCTGGATTGTTGTGATGAGTAAATGAGACCACATTTTTGAAAGGACTTTGTGATCTGTGAAGCACCATAGCCATGGTAGTTATTGGCATTCACTAGGTGCCAGGAGATGTTGGCTGTGTTCACAGGATGAATGAGCAGGGTGACACAGCTGCCAAAGAAAGCCAATGTGACATCCAGAGGAAAGGATGCAACTCTGCCTCGTCCACCTGTTTCTGGGGCACTGCGCTGCGTTCGGTTCTGGGAATTGCATTTTGAGAGGGACTTTAGCAAACATGTTTTTTCCAGAGAAAGTTGCAAGAGTTAAGTTAGGGTCCAAGAATCATGACATATAAGGGATGATTTAATGATTTAAAGGATGTTTAGTCTGGCGGAAAAATAAAAAATAAAGACTTAGGATGGTGCCGAAACCGGTTTGGCTCAGTGGATAGAGTGTCGGCCTGCGGACTGAAAGGTCCCAGGTTCGATTCCGGTCAAGGGCATGTACCTGGGTTGCGGGCACATCCCCAGTAGGAGATGTGCAGGAGGCAGCTGATCGATGTTTCTCTCTCATCGATGTTTCTAACCCTCTATCTCTCTCCCTTCCTCTCTGTAAAAAATCAATAAAATATATTAAAAAAAAAAAAGACTTAGGATGGGGTAGCTGTTTCCAAATATCTAAAAGCTGTCCTGCAGAAGAGAGGTGAGAATTTGTGTTGCTAGTGGCCAAGCCAGGGCTCAATAATGGGAGTTAATGGCAGGCAGATTTTGGTGCAATAGGAGCCTATCTAAGGCTCAGAGAACTGATCCCATTTGGGCTCCTGGGAAGGTAGTGGGCTGCCCATCAGCAGTCTTCAAGCAAGGTGACTGGGCACAGGGCAGATGCTGTGCTGGGGAGTCTTGCTTTGGCTGAGAGGTTAGGCCAGTTGTTCTCTGTGATCCCTCCAACTCAGAGACCATGATTATCTCCTGGTCTCTCTGGTCTTTCTGATCTACTTCCCTCACCATTTGAGCTGCCTTTGACTTTCTATTTCCTCTGTGAGCAGCATTAGGGTTTTAGATTTGGAAATATTTCTGTAATGATTGATAGTCTGGTTAAATGAAAAGTAGGAGGAGAGAACATTTAGGAACAAAGACAGTTTTATTACTCTTAGGGACACACAGTAACCTGTTAAGTTGGGGAAGAAGCAGGAACCTGGTCTGGTGTGTTAGAAAGTCCTGTAAATGCTACAGCAAATGGCTTATTCTTTGCTACTGTTTAACATGCAAGCACAACTGCTAAAGGCCTTTGTTCTCGAATGGACCAGCATCTTCCTTATTTATGCAATTCTTTTGTTAGCTACAGATTTCAAGAAAATTCTCCCTATAAGAATTTTATATCATAAACTACTTTCTGGATTCATAATTTAAGTGTTTTGCTGACTTGGTTATATGAAATTTGGTGTAGATGTTTTATTTATTTCTTGACTCCAGAAAAGCCATTTTCTTCAGGAAAATATTGTTCACGCATAGTTAGTGTTGCAGCTGGGAGGTCATAGGATAGTTGAATCTCCACAGTGGAGTGGGCAGTGGAGCTATTTCCAGTATTTTGTTCTGTTCGAGTAGCAATTATGCATCTGTCTCACAGTGCCCCACCTCAACATCCCAACACCCATTATTTCAGAAACCTCCACCTAGACAGAGGCACAAAATAGAACTCGGCAGGTCCAGGTGGAAGCGGGAGGGATTGGGTAGGAGTGAGTAACGTTTTTGGTTAGGTTTCCTGAGGCTGGAGTCCTTGCCCAGCCCTGAGGATGACAGTGGGGATGTGAAGACTAAGGGTTCACGGCATGAGTTCTGGGGCTTTTGGAATCTAGTGGGGCAATGGAGGCAGGAAGAGCTGTAGAGACAGCAGCAATGGCTCTTCAAATCTTAGGGACTGGCCAGTGAGGCCAAGCCGGGCAGAAAGGCAGGGGCTGAAAAGACAACAGGAGCCTGCAAGCAGTTGCAAAGCATCTGTGGCCTCATCCTCTGGGGCTGCTACCCATTGCAGGCCCCAGTCCTTGCTGCAGCGATGTTGAACCCACATCTCCTCCACCTCCTTGCCTAGCCCCACCCAGGTGTGACCTTGAATCTTTGGCTCAGGACAGCATCTGCCTGAGGCCAGATGATGGACTTGTTCCTGGGGGTCTAAATTCTGGGGAGAGGAGCCAGACAACTCTGATGTGAAGTTCACGCCTTCACTTTCCATTTGCCCTTTCATTCCAAACCTGCTTCCTCTCCAGGTCTCTTCTGCCTCAGGGTGCTCATCTACAGGCTTCAGATTCTGAGTTGTTCTAAAGCCCTGGCTTGACTCTGTCCTTCAGAGTTCCTGCCCTCTAGCGCGGTGTGGTGCAGTGGCTCCCAGACTTTCATGAGCACACAGATTTATCTACAGCCCGGATCATAAACAGTCAGAATTCAGGGTCCCACTCTCAGGACTTCTGAGTGGGGCCCAGGCATCTGGACCTCAGAGGTTTCTGATGTAAGCAGTCCATGGGCCACACTTGGAGAAACACTAATTTAGAGAAGAGAGCATATTGGGGTATGAGAGAGACAGAACTGAGTTACTTACTGTGTTACTTGTTGAGCAAGTTAATTACCATGTCTGAGACTTTGTTTTCTCACCTATAAAATGCTAACCACTTCATAAGAGAGTTTTCAGATGTCAGTGAGATGATAGATACATTAATGTTTAGCAAGGGTTTATTTTATAGGATTTTTGGCTTCCTCTCACCCTCCTTTAACACCTGGAAAGTGGCAACAGAGACCTTCAATTCTTACCAGTCCTGGCATATCAGTGGAACCTCCCTGGCAGTGGGCAAGTGTGGAAAGGTTACAGGGTAGTCTAGAGGAGCATGTGTGTCTCCAGTGCCTGTGGCTGATCAGACAATCTGGATTTCTCAAGCGATAGCATGAAACCACTAAGAAGTCAGAGGTCAGCAATCTGCTGTCATTTTTATTTGTAGTAAACCACAGTCAGGACATACATATACACAGTACATTACAGAATAAGTCCACGGCACTCTGTGCAGGCAGACGGGCAGGCTGGAACAGGCAACCACCACCACAGAACAACATATCTGTGGGTGGGGGAGGCAGTGGAGGTGGACAAGCAAGGAGGGAAGGATCTGGACCCTGGCACTGTGCTAACTATTTACTGCCTCAGTCCCGGTTGGTAGAGCCTACATTTCTGGGCTGCAGTTAATGTGTTTTGGGACCTGTAGCTTCAACTTGTGCCCAGGGTCACCCCCAAACACTGAGGTTTAGCTAAGCTCCCTAAAAGGAAGCAGTGTTTTCCATTAGTGGGATTGAATTCTCTCCTAACACACTGGCAGTTAGAAAGGGTAAAATAGGTTTGATACACAGAAGGGAAAATACTTACACTTTAGGGATTGAGTGTGTCTGTAGATGTGTGTGTGTGTGTGTGTGTGTGTGTGTGTGTGTGTGTGTGTATACCTAGGTGGAAGGCATATCAAAGAGTTTCCTTGTAGTGTGTTTTGTTCCATGTTGGTCCCCCAAATTAGTTGATTTCTGAGCATGGCCAATCCTCAAGAGGGAAGGTAGATCTTGGCTGAGGGTTGGCAGTAGCCTTCCTAGGTCAGCAGGGCTGGGGGAAGAACCCTGCCCTCTCTCTGATGGCCTTAGTATTTGCCCCAGGTGAAGGCAAGGTCATTGAAGTGGAAAGGTCTTTAGAGCCTCCTTGTTTGGTAGATGGAGAAAGAGAGGGCCCAGAAGGCTAAAGGACATGCCCAAGGCCATGTGGCTGAGACAGGACTGTAGCCCACTCCCCGTGTTGCTCTTGTTTCCCAGGCAGGGTTCTTCATCCCTCATACCATCATGGGATGTGGAATGGCTCCCTTCCTCAGCAGCCTCTAGGGAACATTTGTCAGACTTTTCCAAGATAGAGGGGTCTGACTTGTTTTCTGAAGAAAGAGAAAAGCATCCATCAGAACCCCCTTAGCTGGTGGCTTCTTGGAATTCTGATTACTTGCTAACAATAACAACTTCTCTGTGATAGCTACCGAGCATTGAGGATGATGGTACAGAGAGGCACAAATGATTCTTCCCATTTTATGAAAGAGGGCAGCTGTGCTGTAAGCTGGGTCAGCAACTTGCTCTAGGATCCTCTTCTTTTCAGTTCACTCTCCTGCCTCTTGCTATCTAGAGAAGAAATAAATAATAAATAAAATGTTGCATTTTTTGAAATCACCTCCTTTTCAGGTGACCTAGTCACTAGACACACTGCCTCTATCAAGACTGTAAGCCAGGGAAGGGAGTGTGTGTGTGTAGGGTGAGAGATTAAAAAACAAAAAGACCATAAGCTACCTTGGTAGGTTTCCACAGATCAAAAAGGGCAATATCTGGAGCATTAGGCACTGTCCAAGTGTAGACACAGCTTACCCCTACCCAGGTGCCTGGGAGAATGGCTTTGGAGAGAAATTATGTATGTGGTGACATAGGAACCAATGCTGAATGGCCATCATTCTTTATTCAACTATAATCATCAGAGCACAGACATTATACTATGCTGGCTACCAACTCTGTATGCAAGGTTGGATTCAATGACATCTGAAGAAGGGCCTTTCCAACAGGAGGGGCCTATGATCCCTGCTCAATGGACTTTTCATGTTTATTGAAATAGTCTATCAGAAATTGTGACTCCAGTTGGGTTATACTTATGGGTTTTTGCTTACTTGTTCTGTTTTTGTTGATTTTACAGAAGCTAATCCCTCTTAACTTCCATGGCGTCTAGTCCCTTCTTAGTTCCTGATTCTGTTGTTACATGGAAACAAATATCCTTATGATCTGGATGTTCAACTATGTCACTTTGGGTTAAACTTCCTATCAGTTCTATACCCACACAGGTACTTTATGCCTAAGATGTGACTCAAAAGGTAATGAGAAAAAGAATAGTAGTAATGAACAGAGGGGTTTGAGTTAGACATTAAGGACAATTTGTTGAAGGGAGAAGTTGTGAGACACTTAAATACACCCTGAAATTGGGCTCTGGACACTGTCCTCTGATCTTTCTTGGGCCTTTTAAACACAGACTTGCCTGGAGTTAACAAAGGGGCAGATATTCTGATTTTATGTATGGACATTCTAAAAATAGAATCATGGGGGGAAAAAAGAAGAAAAATATCATGAGAATAAAAGAAGAAAAAGTGAAAGAAGCAGGAAGTAGGGGTGAGTGGAGGTTGTGAAAAGCAGAATGTGATGGGAAAAGATGAGAGGTAAGAGGACTGCATTGAGCCATGTTAAGTTAGGGGGCAGTGCCTGGCAAATAGACATTGTTAAATAACAAAATATGTATTAGTGAATAAGTGAATAATTGTATTAGTCCTCCTCTCCAGCCCCATTGTACATGTAGGAAAACACATATCATAGGACTTGCCCAGGTCCTTGTCAGTCCAGAAAGTGGAGTTGGTCCCATGTGAGAAGCAGGGATGTGCTGAGCAGAGGTTGAGGAGTGCACTTCCCGACCTGATGCTGTGTGGGCAGGAAGTGCCTTGGGTCGTGGTCTATGAACTCAGTAAGGAGACTGAGAACAAGCACCGACTGAGACCCCAATCTTCTCTGGCATTGCCTCCAGCACCTGGGCCCAGAGCAACTGAGGCAGCAGAGCAGAGCATCACATCATCATGGGTCCTCCCATTTCCTCAACGGCTGGAGAAAAACCAAGTCCTAACCTAAACCTTCCCTTCACCTCTGGGAAGCCATGTGAAACACCCACTGAGTTTGGAGGTTGGGTCGCTTCACTTCTCTTTGTTTCCTGAGTACAGTTCCCAAAAGTTTCTTCTTGGCCTCCAGAAAATGGAGTCTGGGAAAGGAAAGGAGTTCTCTCCACGTCAATTGGAGGCAGGATCAATTTCATGCAGATGACCTGCCTTTGAGAACATCCAACAGATTTCCATAAATGTCCTTTATTTTTCCTTTGTGGGGAGATGGGAACTCCCATTTATTTCATCTCTCTCTCTCTGCCCTAGACCCTGTTCACCAACATCTCAGAAGGGACATTGAAATTGGAGCCCTCTGAGATGTCAAGGAGGCTTCTGTCCTCAGATCCCATTTTATTCCTCTTATTGCTCCTCTGTGGTGATCCAAAGAGCTGAGAAAAGGAGCAGTGCCACCACGAAAGGGGCTCAACACATGCAAGTGAACTTGGTCTTTTGAATACTTATTTCCCCCCATCAGGAAGCTGTGCCAGTTTTAATCACTGGAATGTAGGAGGGAACATTATGCTTCCTCGACTACTGCTACACACGGCTAAGGCACAGCAGTACAAGTGAGCCTCTCTGTTTCGAGGAGATAGAGAAAAGAAAAATCATGTTGCCTACACAAGGCAATGGGAGGGTGCAGAGACCCGGCCACCATCCATCTCCTGGGAAGGCCTGCCAATAGCTCTTACATAAGCTCCAATGAGCTCATGTGTTTTCACACCCATCTGCAGAACCTGGGCATCAGGGCCAGGGGTTAGGCTGGAGGAAGGAGATCAGAAGAGGCTGTGTTCTTTCAAAGAAGGGGTGCTCTAGAAAGAAAACAAGTTCCTACACTCAAGATGGTGAAAATAATTTTCATTTGACTAACATGGACGTTCATTGCTCATGGCAGCAACGTTAGGCAAAGAGAAGGTGATGCTTGGTCTGTGAACGCCATGGTATGTGTAGGGGGCGGCTATAGGGTTAAGCCTGGGACTGACCTGTTGGCAAAGCCACAAATAAGTCCCAGCTTAGAGGGCACAGTCCTCTTAGCATAATTAGGCTTGACCTTTTGATGCTCCCTAGATCTTATCTGGGTAGCTAATGGGCTGTGGGAGATACAGCAAGTGCTGCCAAAACAAATGAAACTCACAAGAAAATTGTAACTATAATGACCACTACCTTGTTTACCTCTGGCTATAAAATAAAGGCTCAGCTTGCTGTCTGGATCTCTCTCTGTGGCCTCAGCCAGGCACAGGAAGATCCACCTAGACTCAGCTTATTCTCTTTGTCTGTCTTTTCTACATCCTTCGCCGCCCCCCCCTCAGGCTCACCGAACCCTTGGCTGTGCTGGCATGGCACATGAGCTTAACCCTATAGCCACTCCCTACAGTATGGGGGAAGGGAGTGTGGGGTGGAGTGTTTAATGAATCAAAGGTATGCAGATAGGCACTGAGGGGAAGGTTAAGAAAGCTTTTCCTACTTAATGTGTGGGAAGCTAGATGGGTGCTGGGTTAGGTTTGCCAGCCACAGCTGGGAATCAGGCCACGGTTGAGTATCAGGTCTTGATTTCCAGTTGTTGCCATCAGCTAGGCGGTTCTTGAATAGGAAACTCATTTCATTTATTGACTGAGACAGGATGAATATTCTGGAACCTGCTGTCTCATTTTACCTGCTTCCCTTTTGTTTGGCAGAATCACTGAGCCAGCAGACTTTTGCAAGCAAACTAACCAACATCTTGCCTATATCTTGTCCAGAACATCTGCAGTTTGCCTGCCCTGACCCCAGTAGCTAAGCACAGAGCAAGTGTAATAATACCCACTTCCCTTACACTTTGCCTCCTGAAAATAAAATCTCATCCTGCATGAGGGAGCCAACGTCTCTCAACCAGGCTTCCCAGACATTCTCTTGGGGGTTGACACACTTCCAGTTCAGTTGTGTCCCAGTGGAGGGGGAGGATCTGTCTGTACATCTCAGCTGCTTACCCCTCCCCCAGTCTAGCTCCATATTCTTCATTTATGGAGGCAATGATGAGACTGTGTTTTAATCTGATTAAATGAATCTGCAGATATGATGTTTCACCTGTCCAAAATAATACTGTGCCCAATCTTTCTGTAACTGCTAATGCTTTAAACAATTTTTATTTAAAAAATAAGAACACACAGTATTCAGGTAAATTTCTAACTCCTCCAAGTACTTTGCATTTTCTCTCCGGCATCATTCGTGCTTATAACACTTCCCAACTTAGTGTCTTCTGAGAATTTAGTTAATGTGCTGTTTACCTTTGTCTTTCCAGATCAATCAGGAACATTTTGAGTACAGCCAAACCTTCCTTAGAGTGATACCTGATTAACTTCTATTTGTGACAGCTGGAGTCAGTCAGTTGGGAAATGACTGAGCTCATATACTCAACACTCTGACATCTTTCTCCAGCAACATGGAGGACACACACAAGCTCTAACACTTAAAGGATCTCCCATGATGATGTATGTGCAATATTTTGGTGTGAGATGTCATGACATCTATAATTCACTTAAAATATTTTGATGAAAGAAAAGATAAAACAAATATGGCAAAATGATAAGAACTGTTGACTCTAAGTGACAGATATGTGGGTTCTCATTATACTCACGGCTCTGCTTTTCCATATGTTTGAATATTTTCATAATAAAAAGAAATGATTACCAGATGTTCTAATTCCAGGAAGTGTATTTAACTGGGGATGGGGGAGCTTCAGGAGGCTGATAGGGAGTGGATGGAGGTGGAAATTGCTTCATCCTCTTAGGTTTATGATCATTTCCTCAATGCCTGGTGGTAGCAGAGTATGATGACAGCAAGCCCCAAACAACAATCCACTGACATCCTCTATTATTAACACCCTCCATGCATATGTGGTTCTCTAAGTGAAAAGATTTAGTTCTCAATCCTTTTACCTCAAGAGTGTTGGGGAGAGAGGGAATATTCAACTGGAAATGTTTTCTTTTTTTGAAGATCATGCCATTTTCTGGTAACCAATAGGTACCAGTTCTCTTAAAAAAATAAAAAAGATAAACAAATAAATTCATTAATTACTGTTGTCTAGTCCCTCAACAGAAAATGCTGACTTTCTGGAATCTCTTTCTGGATTGACACGTACACTGTGGGGTTTATAAATTCTTTGCCTTTTGTACTGTCTAAGGCAGCCGTGGGCAAACTACGGCCCTCGGGCCGGATCCGGCCCGTTTGAAATGAATAAAACTAAAAAAAAAAAAGACCGTACCCTTTTATGTAATGATGTTTACTTTGAATTTATATTAGTTCACACAAACACTCCATCCATGCTTTTGTTCCGGCCCTCTGGTCCAGTTTAAGAACCCATTGTGGCCCTCGAGTCAAAAAGTTTGCCCACCCCTGGTCTAAGGTAAAAAGAAATAACCATTTTATTATCCCTTATCTTGTAATTCTTAGTAAAACTCCATTTTA